TTATTGTCATCACAGTTTACATTTCAAATAGCAAGGCTCATATACATAAAAAAATAACGATGCTTAGCCTAACAATCTATCCTTGAACATGAATTCAAATGACAATATTTTTCCTTAATCGTAAAAGAACACAAAATAAACACAAAAAACAAAAATAAAAGTAGCTTAAAAACAGGGCGTATTAACTCTTTCTATGAAATAATTCTTGTTAAGTAAATGCACATCTCTCAATCTAATGACCTCCCCAATTGTTTTTTATACAAAATCTGTCCTATGTTGCCTAACATATTTTAACCATCTCTCCCGGACTTTATTAAAGTTGTCCACCTCCACCCTGACAGACGCTGTTACTTTTTCCATATTATATATGTTCAACATTACATCCGTCCATTCTTCCACAGTAGGAATCAGATCACCTCGCCATCTCCTGGTAATAGCTTTTTTACTGGCCAAAAGCATTATTCGAAACATTTTGTAGTCATTTCTTCTTTTAAAATTCAAATTTTCTGTTTTCCCCAAATACATAATTTCAAAACTGGTTGGAATTTTAAATTCTACCACTTCCTCTATTGCCACTTTCAAATCTATCCAAAATTGTTTTATGAGGGAGCATCCCCAGAAGATGTGGAAGTGATCTGCTTTTGTTTCACCACAAGACCTCCAACATTTTGTTTCTCCATGTTTTCTCTGAGCAGGAGTAGCAAAAAACCTTAGTGTATTCTTCCACCCGTATTCTCGCCATGATAATGAATTTGTGGTTTTCCACTGATATTGATTCATGTCCACCCATTCTTCTACTGATATGACTATATTTGCCTCCCTTTCCCACTTCTCTTTTACATATACAGTGTCATCAGATTTTAGGTCCTCCAGAATCCTGTATAGTTTAGAGATAACTCTGCTCCCGGATTGTGATCCATATGCATCCATCATCACTTTAATTATACCTGGCCAAGATTCTAAAGCATCTTTTTTAATGTTATCTCCCAAATTGTGTCGTAACTGTAAATACCTATGGAAATCATGGTTCTGTAGGCCATAATCATCTTTCATTTTCTGGAAACAAATTACCCTTCTATCTTTTAAAACTTCCCAATGCATTTTTGGCCCATTATCCCACAATTTGAATCTGGCATCTAATTTGTTAGGTGTGAAGTCTACATCATATGCGATCCACTTCAAATACCTATTATACTTCGTCAAATGATACTTCTTCATTATTCCAGTCCAGATTTTAACCGGTACACCCAACCATGGGTTTATTTTTCATTTCAGATGGGTCGTTAATGTTTCATCACTTAATATACATTGTAACGGTATCTCCCCCATCAATCTTTGTTCAATATCTTTCCACTTTGCGGAATACTCAGGGTCCCATAAGTTGATCAGAATCCTCAATTGTGCAGCCTGGAAATAATTGTTTAGGAAAGGTAGGGATAGCCCCCCATCCCTCTTAGGTAATTGCAATGTCCTATATCTTATTCTAGGTTTAGATCCTTGCCAAATAAATCTCGAAATTATTTTATCCCATTCTTTAAATTCTTTTTCAGACACCTCTATAGCCAGGTTTTGGAACAGATACAACATACGGGGCAGAATGTTCATTTTAATCACTTCAATTCTTGATACCAGACTCAAATATGGTACTAAGTTCCATCTATCCAGGTCCATTTTTATATTTGATATAATTCGGTCATAATTAGAAGATTTCAATGTATCTAGCTTTTTTGGTAAATTAATGCCCAAGTACTTCATAGACATCATATTCCATTTAACGTTGTAACTTTGTTGTACAGATTGGTTTGGTTTGTAATTAATGGTTAAGACTTGGGTTTTTAGGACATTGACCTTGTACCCTGACATTTTCCCAAACTCCTCAAAAGATGTCATCAGCACCGGCAGTGATGAGTCTGGCTTCCCCAAATAATAGTAGTGGTAGTAATAGTAATCTTTATTTATATACCGCCTTTTCACTGCAGATCTGAGTCTCAAAGCGGTTTACAATTGTTAATTTTTGGGCATTTGTCTCTCACTCCACACAGAGATGGGAGCGGGGTCGCCAGTACAGGAGGCGCATGCTAGAACTATTGGACATATTTTTAGTGGTAGGGGAAACCGGAGTACCCGGAGGAAACCTATGCAGACACGGGGAGAACATGCAAACTCCACTCAGAAAGGCCCTGGTCCGACTGGGATTCGAACCCAGGACCTTCTTGCTGAGAGGCGAGAGTGCTATCCACTCAGCCACCGTGCGAGTGGATAGCAAATATATCACAATGTCGTCAGCATCACACTCCCGCCACCACAACTCCCTTAATGCTATCATTTTGTTTTATATACTGGTTTAGAGGTTCCAGAAAGATGGCAAATAGCAGGGGACTCACTGAGCACCCCTGACGGCACCCCCTCTCTATTTTGATACTGTCGGATAAGCTTCCATTAACCTTGATTCTTGCTATAGGACCCGTGTACAGCGCCTGGACCATTCCAATATACCTCTCGTGGAAGTTAAACCTCTTCATTACTCTGTACAGGAAGTCCCACCTGACTGAGTCAAAAGCTTTCTCCGCGTCCATTCCCATTATCACTGCTTCCACTTTCTCGTCATCAATATGTTGCATAGCAACGTCTTACGAATATTATCATGAGTTTGTCTATGTTTAATAAAACCTGTTTGATCTAGACTAATAATGTCTGGTAAAATGTTTTCCATGCGTCGTGCCAGAATAGCTGTGAACAATCTGTAGTCTATGTTGAGAACACTTATAGGCCTATAATTTGCACAATTTGTTCCATCTTTACTCTCTTTGGCAATGACAGAAATGATTGCCTCTCGCCACGAAACAGGAATAGCTCCTCCCTTCAAGATCCAATTAAATGTTTTGTGTAACAGTGGTATCAATGTTGTCCTATAAAGTTTGTACCACTCAGCAATGTACCCATCTGCCCCTGGGCTTTTATTATTTTTAAGTTTAGAAATTGCCAGGTTAATTTATTTCGTTGTTATGTCTGCTATCAGATTCTTATTTTGCTCTTCTGTTATCCGTGGCAAATTTAGACTGTCTAAAAAGTTATCAATCTGGGATTCATTGCTGGTACAATTCTCAGAGTACAACTTGTTATAGAAGAACTCAAAACACTTATGAATTTCATCAGTCTTTTTTTTTTTTTTTTTTTTTATCTTTATTTATATACCGCCTTTTCACTACAGATTTGAGTCTCAAAGCGGTTTACAATTGTTAATTTTTGGGCATTTGTCTCTCACTCCACACAGAGATGGGAGCGGGGCCAGTACAGGAGGCGCATGCTAGAACTATTGGACATATTTTTAGTGGTAGGGGAAACCGGAGTACCCGGAGGAAACCTACGCAGACACGGGGAGAACATGCAAACTCCACTCAGAAAGGCCCTGGTCCGACCGGGATTCGAACCCAGGACCTTCTTGCTGAGAGGCGAGAGTGCTATCCACTCAGCCACCGTGCCGCAGTCCTGTATACCATGGAATTTGTCTGGGGATCCTTCAATTTGTAAACGTGTCTGCCAGATTCTTGTTTTTTAAGCCTGTAAGCCAGTAATTTTTCTGCTTTACTCCCGGCTTCGTAATATCTTTGTTTAGTATAAATCATTTTCTTTTGAATTTCTTGTGCTAAGATATCATTAATTTCTGCTTTTGTTCTTTTTATTTCCTCCAAAATTGTACCATCTACTGTGATTTTATGTTGTCTTTCCAATCTTTTTAAATCTGTCTGTAATCTCTCAAGCAATTCCTGTTTCTTTTTCTTTCTGTATGCCGATCTTGCTATCAGTTTCCCTCTCATAACAGCCTTACATGCATCCCACAATACTGATGGAGAAACCTCCCCATTATCATTTTGTTCTACATATTCACAAATCTCTTTTCCTATCTCCTCCTTCATTTGACCTTGAAGCAAATTTGAGTTCAATCGCCATACTGTTCTTTTCCTTTCTGTTCCCAAGGCCATAGTTAAATATAAAGGACAGTGATCAGATAAGTCCATTACACCAATCTCACAGCTATCTATTTTGTACCTATCCTTCCCATAAATGAAAAAATAATCGATCCTTGAGTACGAAGAGTGTGGTACAGAGAAGTAGGTATAGTCCTTTTTAGATGGGTTTAGCTCCCTCCATATGTCTAGAATCCCTAGCTGTGAGATCAGTTTCCTTATTCTTTTGCCAACAGTATTTTGTTGTGTTTGTCCTGATGAGTCTAAATATGCATTGAGCCTTTGATTCAAATCCCCTCCTCCAATCAATGTTCCCTCTCCTTCAGTTGTTACCAATTCAAAAATATGTCTAAAAAAATCCCAGTCTGATCCTGGAGGAGCATAAACATTCAATAATGTGACTAATTCCCCCTCCAATCTGCCTGTCACCAAAACATACCGACCCTCTTTGTCCTTGATTATTTTCAGCATCTCAAAGGTGACCCTCCTTGACACCAGTATTGACACCCCGCGCCTTCGGCCTGGCTCGTACGATGATGAGAATTCCTGACTGTAACCATTCCTCTTCAACTTTTCATGCTCTTTTACTGTTAAATGGGTCTCCTGTAAAAAAACTATCCCGACTCCTTCCTTCTTCATTTTACTTATTACTTTACTTCTTTTAATTGGGTTACCAAGGCCATTAACATTGTAAGAGGCCACTTTCACCTTATTATGTGTCGTCATTTACTAAAACACTGTTCCGAACCTGTTTTCCCACCCCATGTGCTACAAAAAAGAACGAGAACAAACAGAAAATTAAAACGAATTCCAAACCTGAGGTTGTACCTTCTTCAACCTTTGAGCTCTTTCCCAGCTCTGAGGGAAAACCCCTGACCTTCAGGGGGCCCTCACGACCTATTTCAGCCCTTTCCATGAGTCAAGTTTTTAAACAAGTTCCCCGTGTATCATCTTGACAATATTTCCCCATCACTAGAACATTAGAGTGCACTTTTTTCTTCTGCAATATGCTGTCCTTCCAGTTTGATTGTCTTACTCTTGTACAGTCTCTGAGGATCTTCTAAAAGCCTGCAGCTTCTCCTTGAATCCCATTTCTAGTGTTTTCCCCTGGTCCTGTCGCCCTGCCCTCTGGGCGGTATGCCACATCCGACGCTGGATATTTTCCATTGGATCTATTGCCGCTTTCACAACTCGAACCTGAAGTCCTCTGTCCGCCATATCTCTTGTAGCCTCTGCTGCTGAGTTGTATAGGCGTGTCTCTCCCTCATAAAAGACACGGAACTTCGATGGAAACGGCGTCTGGAATCTGATTTTTTTCTCCCTCAGTACTTTCTTCGCCTCAGCATATTCCTTCCTCATCTTCATCACTTCAGGAGCATAATCATGGTCAATATACACCCTGCATCCTTCAAAGACAAACCCCTTTTTCTCCCATGCCTTCTTGATTATGTCTTCTTTACATTTGTGGCTTGAAAGCTTTGCTATTATGGATCTCGGCGGTACACCATCCGCTGGGTGAGGGCCTAGTGATCTGTGTGCACGTTCCACTCCGAGTTCGTATGCTACTGGCAGCTCTAACTTTTCTTTGAGTAAAGTTTCCACAAATGCACTCACAGACTCGGCATCCTTTTCTGCTCCCTCTTTAATCCCATGTAATCGAACGTTGTCTCTTCTGGCTCTTCCTTCCTGGTCTACTTGTTTCTCTTTCAGCTTCTTGCAAAATTGAATGAGCTCACATGTCGCCTCCTCCATATACTGGATACGCTCCTCCGTATCCCCAATCCGTTTCTCAGTCTCATCAATCCTACAGTTTGCTTTCCTAATATCTTCCCTGATGGCGTTCAGGCTCTCCACCGTTTCCCGTCTGAATTCTCTTATCTCACGCAGGACTGTATCCAAGTCTGACATTTTCTGTCCAACCCGCACCGTATCTGATGTTAGCTCCTCCGCTAATTCCTCCTCTGAACCAGTTAGCTCCTCCGCGCCAGTTAGCTCCTCCGCTAGCCCGACGTCTTCATTACGGCGTTGTTTGACGATACCAGTGCTCTTTCTGACTTTTCTTCCAGGCATTTCACAAGCCCTTTTCGTTATCTTCTTTTAAATCTCAGTGTTATCCTCAGGCTTGGGCCATACGGTGTGAATTTTTAACTTTTTAACGGGGACGTGCGTGTCTACGGTGTTGCCATGTTCGACCCGGAACCGGAACTCTGAGTTGGCGTTTTAAATAAACACTGTGAATGTTTGTCCTGAAAAGAACACAGCCACAAACGCATTGTTTTGTTGAGAATGATAAGTTCATACCAATCCTTACTTACACGGCTCTGTACGATGCAGGATGTGTCCTTCAGGACCTTAACTCTGAGTTCGTAAATCCACAGACGGAAAAGTTGCAGTATCCGTGTTTATCCAAACCTTCATTTGTTTAGCAGTGCAAAAGCTTGATTGTAACACTAGCTGTGGGTTAGAATCTAAAGTGAAGAAAAAGACAGTCTAGGATCTTGTCTTTAATTCAGACAGAAGACATTTTTTATTGTCGACGGTAGAGGCAGCATAAACAAAGACGTTACAGAATGTAAGTGACATACAGCGGAGGAATGGAGACTTATTAGCATATTAGCATATTAGCATTTACCGCTATGCCAGTAGCTTCAACCTTGATATTACCAAAACATGTAGTGGAAAAATTCTGCCTTGTGCATATTGTTAGAATGATGAGTTAGAACGTTCACCACAGTAGCTTCAAAGTGTCATGAAATATCCAAAAAAGCAAAAAATACTTGGAAGAGTCGCATTTTCTTCATATATCAGCAGCAACTGCTGGCCTGACCACCACTCCATCAACCGGAAGTTTATGCGTCACGTGACTGCAAGCAAGCAATTTAGTAATGTTAGGTTCAAGTAAAGACTTCAAGATATGAAACAGCTAAGTTAGAATTGTGTAAATGAAATGCATAAAAAATGTCAAACAGACATGAGTTCGGCGCCTATTCTTGCCTTTTATAAATGTAAAACCTTCATTAGGTCCTCTGTATATTTAAAGCTTGTTGTTTTAATCAAGGTTGATTTAATCAGACAAAGAGTGTAATAAATCTACTGTTTAATAACCTGTCTGCTGAAACATGTCGGGTAATTAACCAGTACTAACTTCTTTACACTCCTTGACTTTAAGAAAAAAAAAGTCTAAATCTTGGCGGTTTTAATTTGCTATCATTCTTGTAACTGCATGTAGAGTACCCCATCGGGAGGGCCACCTTTGTTCAGGGAAACCTTGCAGACTCTGTACCTTTTTGCCAGGATGCTGGAAATACCAAGCATTCACCAAAGGTCACATCCTTCAGCTGACTTTGCGCGCCTTCATGATGTTTATTGTTGCCGTTTCTCAAGTGCAAACGCAGAAATAGGTCTTTGCAGCGCACAAGAATGAATCATAAAAATGCACCTGGAGCCTGGATGGCAGGTGGGAGCGCGGCGGTGACAGATGATGGACGACAAACACAAGTGCGTTCAATTGTGACGAGGAAACACTTCACGGCCAATTAGCCTTGTCGTTTCAATCCAACATTACGGTTACCAATGGCAACCGGCAGAATCAACAAAACCTGGCTTGTTTGTTTTTTTGCCAAACGAGTCATGTGTCAGGTTTACTATGTGCCGAGTCAAGCAGCCTCAGGAGTCAGCAGCACGGATCCAAACCTCAGGGAGTTCACGTTACCACATCAAAGCGGCGTTCAAGTCGTTCAAGTCGAGGAGGAGCAGAGGATGACCTGTATTCTGCACTAATGGTGGCTTCACTGCGAGGCAACAAAAAGACAAACAAACAAACTCGCCACGGAGAAAGTAGTCTGTTTGGTAATCTGATGTAGCGTAGCAACCCGCGTACACAAACCCAACACAGATTGTATACAATAGAAAGAAAAAAATCAAATTTACGACCTAAGCAACAGCAGGAGAACGTGTAAGACTAGTCATGGTGGTGAACAGTTTCATAAGCAAAACCACAACGTTCTGTCTCATTTGTTTTTTGTTCTGCTCTGCCATCGATCCGTGAAGGTTTCTAAAAGCGCTGCTGAATGTACTTTTTGTTCCCAAATAAAAGACTTCCTTTCAACTGATCCAACAAGCTCATAATGGCTCTATAATCACATATATTAAAATACAATTGTGTTTCTGGGCTTGCGTCATGATCAATCCACTAAATTGAATTATGCCAGCAGTAGCAGGGTTGTTGAAAATATTGAAAAGCGAATAATATTACTAAATCTGGAATCAATTTTCTCTCCATAATGTGAGATTGTCAGAGGGGGTTTTGAATTATCTTGATCTCTGAACTATACAACCCAGTGGTAATATAAACTATATTATACCACTGGGTTTTTTAATATTTATGTAGAAAAATGCACCATGTTTTTTTTTTTACTTTTCTGAACTGGTTTTGGTTCTCAACAAGAACATCCATCCATTTTCTACCCTTTAATCCATTTCTGGGTCAGGGGGGTAAAGTGGGGTTAAGTGTCTTGCCCAAGGACACAACGACAGCAGTCATCAGTGGGAGTTGGTGAAGAGGTGGGAATTGAACCCACGACCTTCTGGCCTTAAGGCCAATGCTTTACCAACTGAGCTACTGTCGCCCCCTCAACAGGAACAGCTCTTGATATTGAAATTAATGTGTATTGAAAATAGAAAACATGATTACGGTTTATAATAATAATAATAATAATAATAATGATAATAATAATGATAATAATGATAATAATAATAATAATGATAATAATGATAATGATAATGATAATGATAATAATAATCATTATTATTATTGTATTATTATTAGAAAAATCATGATTATTATTTTTATTATTATTTATTCAAGTATTTATCCCAGCCATTCCCAAACTCAGTAACACCGAGGCCCCCTTAAAAATCTGACAGGTCTGCGTGGCCCCCCAAAATAATAACCAAGAAGACAACATTAAGAATAGGCTCTTCTGGTTATTTTATTTTGGGGAAATAGCCTCTGCTACAAACATTGTAATACAAAAATGATTACAGTGGATTATTCAAGTCAAATAATGAACACAAATATTTTAATATTACAAACAAAACATAAATTTGACATTAAATAATTATTTTTTTTTTTTTATGACCTCCCGCGGCCCCCCTGCAGTACCCTCGCGGCCCACCAGGGGGCCGCGGACCCCACGTTGGGAGACACTGATTTATCCTATACAGGGTAGAAGCAGAAAAAGGAAGGTGGAGTTGTCTTCAGTCAAATTTTTGATCGTTTGAAATGCATTTTTGCTCATACAAACCCTGTTTTCTTGTATAGTTTTCTGCATTAAGAGTTTATTTTGCATAAACTAAATTGCTTAGTTAGAACAGGGCCATGCAGATCATTTTTTTGCTTCTTCATTATGCTAAAGATGTAGATTTTAGATTTGCTTCCTTATTATGCTTAAACTAGAGATGTTATAATTGCTTCTTCAACATGCGGAAGTTTAGAGGGTTTTTTTTGTACAGAGTTATTGTTCATTTATCTTGTGCTGTGTGCTCCTCATTCCTACTGTTCTGTAACTGGTGAAATATCCCCACAGCGGGACCAATAATGGATCTTATTTTTGATACTTTTGACAACCCCAGACAGATAATACGACCTACTTAGAACACAGAGGGTTTGTTTGGTCACATGTAACATTACACTATTGTTGATCGTCTGCTTTGAACTGCTGTGAGACTACTGTGTTCTGTGTTGCGATGATCTCAATCAGTGTTGTGGGATTTCCAGAATCCTGCGTGCAGAAAACACGCAGAGCGCCTTTACGTGTTCACTCACTCCTTTTTCACGACCAGATTACCACTGTCACTGATCTCATTACCGCGCACCACTCTCCACATGCATTTCAGCACAGTATATAAGAGCTTCAATGTCAAACAGCGTAAAGAGGTATTTTTTTAAATCTTTTTTTAAATTTAGTTTTTGGTAGGAAATGACAGACTTTTAACTTTGAATGTCCTTCAGTTGGCGTTGATCAAAACTGCCTTTAAACCGGCTCACATGCGTTTGCACACAGTGGGGAGAACAGATGACACTTTGATATGGGAAGCCTTTTATGTCACTTCTAATGATGACTGAAATGTCAACAGACACACAGGCTGCACATCACTTAATAAGTCTATTTCAAAAGCTTTGCAACTTGAAATGTGCCTTTACATCTCATCTTTTCCGCACAAAGCTCAGATCTGCTCCTAGTGGTCAAAAGAGGAACACAGACAAAATTCTTTCAGTAGATCTGACTGTGTGGGTTGTAATTGATTTACACAAAGCCAAAGTTGTTTCAGAGCCGTGCAGTGCATTCATTTAGTCAAAGGGAGATGACGGCTCAAGTAAGCTACACTCATCATATACAATATCTTCCTTTAAAATACTAAGTAACACGAGTCAGACACCAATATCACTTCAGTATTAACATAAAAGTTGTTTAAATTGACGCGTGATTGATTAAAGCTTACTTGATTAATTAATACCGTGTGTCTGTGTCAGCACCCGTGGTTTTTGACATGCGTTGAATTGACGTGTGGATCTGGGACAACACTGGGAAAAAATTAGCGTGTTCTTTGGAGAAAAAACTGCCTTTCAAAATAAGTCTTCTGAAAGTGTTTTTAGGTGCACCTATGATACCCGGTAATGACATTATAATGGAATATAGCAAGATTTTCATCCAAATATAAACATTATAATGCATATTTTTTCACATGGACAACTTTATAAAGGAAAGAGCTGCACGTGCGACTGCCCAAACTTTGATGGTAAAATGTTTACAGCTCCACGGCTCGTTACGTTGTCACTACGCAAAGTAATATGACTTGTGTGTAGTTTATAACCTCCTGACCCACATGTAAACAATGGGCCACAAACAGTTTGGTTGTATTACTGTCTAAGTTACAGCTATATTTGATTGACCTCTACAAGGGGACAAAGTCGGGAGGCAGGTTAAATGCCAAGTCATTTTGACACACACCAGCCCATGTCACTCAATTTGTAAGGAAAGTGTATTTATGTGCAGTGAGTCTGACCGACATTAAAATGATATAGACACAACTTCATTGTTTCATGAAGACGTTACATTAGACGTTTTATGCAATACATTTTTTGTATTGAATGTACAGAAATTATGTTTACACAATTAAAATAACTCCTCAATAGCATACATCACATGAAATTGCACAAAGCATTGTGGTATACAGGTTTGACCTTGCACAGCGTGTTCAATAACCCAAACTGGAAACCCAAGTCACGCCTCCCATCCCGATTCCAGCGCGCACGTGTTTCTGCGTTATTTGCGACACGTCCCGGGCGCAACACTTGATTGGGGTTGCTGCCTGGCAGGGGGTACGCTAATCTAGCACGCACTCTGGCCCCAAACCCAGTTCTTCCACAGACAACCACGCAGCGCCTCATGGGAAACCAGAGCCGTCCCAGTCCAGCTTCGCACACACCCTCCCTCTCCTACGGGCTGCGATCTCCTCTGATCTGGCCGCAGGACCGCAGAGGACAGATGGGCGAGCAGTAGGGAGTTCAGGGGCGGTGCGCGAGGGCGACTGCCGCGGCACGCAGGGCACAGACAGACAAACAGGGATCAGAGGCTGTAATGCGGCAGACTGGATTGGAAAGTGGCAGACCCCAGACGGACAAATAGGCTGAAATACTCACGGAAAATATCTTGCTCGCACATAAGGCCAGTGGCGACAGATTAGGATGAGAACTTGTAAACATGGAGCACGGACAGCATATTGAGAGGATGTTTTGATAGAAACATTCAGTATTCGAGCTATGACATCCAAGATTTTAAGCTTGCTGCAACATTGTTTGTTCATCAAAAGCAATTCTATATCTGATTCAATATCTTTATTAAAAGTGTTTTTAATAAAAGTCTTGCATGTGCACACATGAATCACAATACAGAGCGTTGATTCATTTAACTTCAAAATATACATAATATCCAACTTATTATCAATTCTTTGCAATGCTGCTGGTTACAGTATACAGTACCTTAGTCTAAAGCATTTATTCATCACCCTTTCACCCCAGAATGTCTTTAACTCCTCCATTTTCACATCCACACTTTATACTCTTTAAGGGACCATGACCAATACGTGTGAGGCTGCAGCTGACTAAAGAAATGTGCGTTGGGCTGAAGACTTGTGTGTCAATCACTACAGTTGTTTGACCTCAAGATCAACCACTGCCAAATTATTGGAAAAATATTCTCCTTTAGGTTTTCCCTCATCATACATTGTCAACCAAGTACTGCACTAGGACTTGTCTTTTTAGAGCCTTCCAATTTGTTGCATATCCAGATATACGTGTGACGCTATGTGTAGATAGGGGTTTTTCATTTTGACACAGTTCGAACATGTATTTTCTATGCGGTTCAGTGAAAATTATGCTACTGATACATTTATATTTAATTTATTGAACGTTCATTGTTTTTAAAGTCAAAACATATGAGAACAAAAAAATTCATTTGTTTATACAACAGTAAAAAAGGCACTGATTAGTGTCACTGAATAAAATAACAAAACACACACACACACACTTGCAACAGTATTCCCTGGCCATCACATGCTTCCAGTAGCAGGTCTGGGCTGGATCATTACCTGTCTGTATTCAGCATATCATTCGTCAAGTCCTGTTTACAGCATTTTAGTGGGAACAGGATGTCATTTTCAAGCAGTCTTGTTTTACTTGGATTGCAGGCCAATTTCCAAATCACCAACAGATCAGATTGCTCCGAGTTTATCCCAAACCAATTGAACTCTTGCTTTTATTTTGCGCTGTAATCCCACTAAACCGAGCTTAATATTTAACCTCATTAAAACACGCCCGGCTGACTCTGTTCATATTTAAATCATCATCCATTATGCATCGGATCACGCTTCTCGTTAGATCACTTACCTTTGAAGCGCATTTTAATTTTTCATTTATTTTAAGCTCATCCAGATAATCCACATCTTCAAAGCTGCACTATCTGGGATTGCCGTGGTCTTCAGGAATGTGCGGTGTGAAGTGTGACGTGTTTCTCTCGTCCGCAGACTCCACCAAGCAGTCGTCATCAGGGAGAAGACGGAACAGGAGTTAGAAGAGGAGAAGACAAAGTGTGCGGATATCAGGTCATTTTTTGTCTCAATTCAATCCATTCCAGAAGCATGTGTTTTGTTTGCTATTTAATCATAACTCAATCATTTTAAAGTGATTTTCGGTGTGTGAAGAGAGAGGGAAACTCCCACCCTCACCCCTGCAGCCTCCTGATTGGTCAAAATGAATTCAAATCCATAATTGGTTTAACTGTTGTCCACCAAAGAATATTACTGGTCGTTTTTATGCCAAGCTGCCAAACATTTTAAATATATTATTGTTGGAAAATATACTAGTGGCCCATGATCAGAAAAATACATCATGTCAAAAACAAAAAAAATCCCCCCAAACCACCCAAATGTTTTAACAACATAGTACTGACAGAATATGGTTGCGAGCAGTGGATCTTGAAAATGACTTTGTGTCAGAATGACTGATGAATCATCCATGAATCACAGATTAGGAAACATAATCAACACCATGCACCAGTGGCAGTGAAAACAATGGTTGTCATAGCAATGATGCCACGGATGCAAGTGAAGAGTAGGTTCTTGGGATACTTTAAAGTTTAGTTTATTCATTTATTCGGGCATTAATGAACAACAAAACGTGAATATCTTAATCTATAAATCAATGAATATGTTGTTTTTTTCCCAAAACCTGGACAATAAGGTTTTTCTATCTATCTATTATAAACCGTTTGAGGTTGTTGACTACAGGAAGAAGTTTCGATCATACTCTCAATCATCCACATTAACGCCTCTAGACCCCTCAGGCAAAGAATTCTTTAAGGATTCCATACACGCTCATTCATTCAACAAGACATTTTAGATGCAATATAGTAGAATAGTAACACAATACAATTTCATTATATGGACAACACACACACACACACACACACACATGCAATTTCCCACTACTCACTCTCTTCACTACCAGGGTCTTCCCCTGGTCTGCTCCTAGGGGGACATGCCAGCAAGGTTTTTTTTCTCATTGTACTTTACTGACGGGAAGGGTGGGGTTGATGTAAAGCAAGGAAACTATTATATTATGGTTAAATACTCTTAAAAGTTAAGCTTTTAAGACCACTTTAGTTTACTTTAAATGATCTTTCTTTATTATGCAACTCTAGATTTGTGAATGGTATAATCACAATGTGCTTTATTACAAAAATATTCTGATGATATTAATGTTGGTCGTGAAAGGATGTTTTTTGTTGGTCCTTTTGACCCTCGGTGAGCTCGGTACATTGGAGAGAAAGACAAAGATTCAGTGTGGCCAAAGTGAGGTTACCACAGAACACAAATCCTTGAAGATAAAACAAAGCAGGCCAAGTTTTTTCTGCTCTCTGATTGGCTGCTCAAGTTTAGCCAGATGAAAAAGGCCCAGAGCAGATGGAGAAAAACTGCGTGGGATGATACATAAAATTGTCCAGGGCAATCCATCACATTTTAAATCCATTTTGGAGTCATAATATTCACACCATATACTTACACTCCACATCACACTCACACATAATACATTACATTATTTTTGTCTTGTATGTTCTATTCAATTCAAATAGCTGCAAAATCACAACAGCAGTCGTCTCTGAGGACATAACAAGGTTTTTGATTCACCCACAATAGATCAGAGAATCAAACCGATTGAACACAGGAAATGCAATATTACCAAACACATTGGATCCTTTGGTCCAGAGGGAGCGGAATGACCACTGCCCATAAATGTTGGTTTATGGCTCACTCACGCTAAACTGTACAATGCTTCAAATATTACCTCAAGCTGCAATAAGCTTGAGGTAATATTTAAAACATGCTAACAAGGCTAATATTCGTTTTTACATTATGCCAGTCTCACTTTGGTTGCCTTAGATTTATTTACCACAATGTACATTGTAATATCCATAAATGCTAATCAAAATAACTTGAATTAAATAAATATTTTACTTTTATGAACAAAAAGCTGCAGAAGTTGAAAACATAGACTACATGTGATGCAATCATTGATAAAAATGCTAATTAAACCGTTAATAGGTGTTAGCATTTTTGAATATTACAATGTACATTGTGGTAAATAAATCTAAGGCAACCAAAGTGAGACTGGCATAATGTAAAAACAAATATTAGCCTTGTTAGCATGTTTTATGATATCAAGTAGAGTTAGCTAACTTGCCCAACACTAATTAGCTTGAATCTCACAAATAAGGCTAAAGGGTTAAAAGAGTTGTGCACTATTATGTACAAAACGGATGAAAATATGTTTATACCTTGTTCAGATGACAGTGAAACCTCCTACAGATTCAGCCCAGACTAGGGTTGCCAACCGTCCCTTGAAATACGGAATTGTCCCGTATTATAGAAAAACTATGTGCGTCCCGTATTGAACTGATACGGAACGGCTTTTGTCCCGTATTTTCAGAGTCGCCTTAAATGCATCACTCACTCACTGCATGTCACACACGCGACACACGCACACACAGTAATCACAGTTTAAGCGTCTACCTTTCGGCCAAACAGTGTCAAAGGGGGCGTAAGCTTGATCACATCCATGGGTTTACCCTTACTGTTGACAAGTGACAGCGTGGGCCGTGCATGGATCTATGGGGGCCGTGCCCGCAGCATCATCCTGGCAGAAGTCTGGTAAAGTAGCGTCATATTCCCAGATTCGGACTTCCGCGGTCAATAGCTCAAGGAAGTTACTTTGTTAAACAAAAGTAATTTGCTAAAATGATCACCTCTATGTTGATTTTTCAAATCCAATGCGCTGTTTTTAATGCAGAGAAATCCATTGAATCCAATGCACTGCAAGCGCCGAGTAAAGCGCTTAGGGACCGTCAACCAATGTCAATACCAGCTTTGTAAACAAAAAATAGCTTTTACTGAAGCCATGTACACGCACTAAACTCTCAGACACTATAAATAATGACCATATCTAACTGCTACAGACTTTGATTTCAACATTTGTGAGTTTTTTTAATGAATACATGTTTTTCTTTTTTTCTTTTACAGTAAATGGTCTTTACTGTAACATACATAAATAATGTATGTTACAGCGTTTGTCTTTTTATATTTTTTATTACTAACAAGAATGCATGAAGTCCTTAACCAGCCAAACAGTTCCACCTATTTATGACATTTATTTTTTGCCTAAGAATTCTTTTGATTTTTATATGTAGCCAAAAAATTACATTCTAAAAACTGTGATTATGAAATTCCATGATTCCTGTGTAGATTGAAATTAGGACTAAAAAGTGCTCAACCCGATCCACCCAAATGGTGTCCCTTATTTTTTTGTTCTCAAGTTGGCAACCCTAGCCCAGACTGCTGTCTGCTGCTGTGAGATGCCCTCCTCCTACGTCATCGCCGCCATTTTGCCCCCCCCTAGCGTTTCTATGCGGAAGTGAAAAGGTGCCACTTCAAAGCAGTTTTTTTAACATAATCCATCTGAACATGTCAAAATGAACACCCGAAATATTATAAACACATATTGTAGTTATATATTCTGGATAGCAGCATATTAAATTCTAGTACTACTTTAAGTAGTGCGTCCTTAACTGGTCAAACAAGCTGGAAAAGAACATGCTTGGGTGCTGTGGATATTCGGCAGTATCGGCCGCGGACATTTCGGGACTTTTTTGTGTCATTGACCCATATGTAACACATTAGTACAGTTTAGTGTGAAGTGAGCCAAATGATCTGTCTAGTCTTTTTCATGTTTTGGCATAGAATTAAATAAACAGCAACACATTAAAACCAAATAGAAGCAGTGAGAGGGTGATTTCTTTCTCTATGTGTTTGGATTGTAAATAGCATGATGTCATGAAAACCACACTAAGAAGATTTAGAGTAATAATAGCCCTCCTTTCCTCCATTCGACCTTGGCAAACTGCGGCGTCCACATAGCAGGTAACGGCCGCTGACGAGGCGAGGAGAAAGAGCAGATTAGACACCGGGGAGTGAGTGTTTTTAAAGCGCTCCCACTGACATTGAAAGTTGGAGCTAAATGAGAAGAGCTCTTATTTTAGCAGGCGCACACAGCTCGCCCGCCCTCCTGCCCGAGCCTTATCAGCCGTGACAGATCTGGCTCATATCTGCTCCTCCGTTTGCCGCTGTCGGACGTATGATTTATGCCATGTGACGGTATTAAGGCGCCTCTCGTGACAAGCCGCGCCCGCCTCCTCCCTCCCTGCTTTATTCACACGCGCGCTTGTGTTAGGAGCCAGACAGGGGCCTCGCATACCCTCTGTCATATCACTCAAAAGAAGAAACACAATATTGGTAACAGAAATCGGTGTGTAATAATTCAGTCATGCTACGCTACAGTCGGATGCGTTCGCGGTTTCATAATCACTATCGCTACATTCATTCACTGAGCAATGTGTTTGATAATGTAACAGTACTCTTGAGTCACGTTTGACATTGTAACAGTATTCAAGTTTGTCACCTTTAAAATGATGAAGACGGTGAGACCCGCCCCCACAGGTTTTGATTAGACGAAATGAATTCAGATCTGTGATAGACAGCTGAGGCCCCTCTCCATAGACTTTAACTGTTCTCCTCCAGTAATTTTTTTCTGGTGGTGGTGATGAGACGAGACAACTCAAAGTGCTGAACAAAATCATAAATAATCACAGTACATTAAAAAGTTCCCCTCCATTGTATGCACAGCTTCAACAAGGGACTGTTTTAAATATATTGTTTATGAAAAATACATGATATGCCATGACATAGAGATGCTACTACAGTGTTTTAGCTGCTGTTTTTACAATGGTGTGCCGCCAAAGAGACACTCGTCCAGCCCAACCAATCACAGAGTCCGAAAAATTTGTTTGCAGGCCGTTGATTTGACAAAGTTAAGGTAACTCCCCAAAGGATTTAGAAATGAATAAAATATAATAATATACTTAGTATTTCAGATTAGGGCTGCACGATATATCGAAAAAATATCGTTATTGCGATATTGGTGCGTGCGATATCCATATCAAAAATATTCTCGATAATAAAATAATGTTTTTTTCTTCATTTATCACAACAAAACAACATTCAGCAAGAGCAACAAACAAACAAACAAAAAAGTATATATATGCATTTGAATGTCATTAATGTTGTGCTTATTTTTTGTTATTAGTCCCTTGCGTTTCAAATCAGATTGCAATTTTAGGTGAAAGACAAGAATATCACAATAATATCGTTATCACAATACTAAACACTCATATCGCACTAATTTCCAATATTGTGCAGCCCTACTTCAGATTGTATAATTCATCAGCGTTATTTATTATTGAATGCACTTACTTCGTCACCAGTAACAAATGTGCAATGATCAATAATGACTGTGCCCAATATTGAGCTTGTTCACACCAAAATATCACAACATTTTTCCCAGGGCCGCTTAAAGGAGTAGCTCTGCAGTTATTGTCCCGGGTAAGTAGCTCTCTGGGTGAAAGAGGTTGGAGACACCTGGGGTAAACGTGGGACTGGAGCTGGTGGAGTTGTTTGAGGACGGGGGGTGATGTGGTTTATAATCTGACCTGCTTTTTTTGGCTCTTCACTGCTATAGGTTTTATGGTTGGTTTTGTCTATAGAATCATGGTTTTGGTTCATCCTTAACCTGAATCGTTAATAATAGTCCCATTTTGTTTAATTTCCAGGAGAGATGTAGGAACCAAATAGGTACCATTTTCTGATTTGGAGTAATTATTACAGGGGCACATGTATATTCAGATGTTTCTTTTGCCTTGATAATGTATAGACAGTATGTTCTAGTTCTTTTTCAGAGTTGTAACCCCAATCCGTATTAACTATTGTATAGGTCCAAGATTCACAATTACAACCACAAGAGTATTTTGAATTGCCTCATACGTCACTTCCAATGTAGTATGTGCTTTAGTAATACATAGTAACTTTTCATTTTGCTCACATTCGCAGGGGTTTGAACACGGGTGAATTTAGCAAGTGTCCAATAAGACGGTGCATAATTCTCCTACTTCAGGGGTGGCCAACCAGTCAGAGACTAAGAGCCAATTTTTTTTACTGTGTTACAGCAAAGAGCCACATCATACAAATGTGCACTACATAAACATCACCCCAACCCTTACACACGCACGCACACGCGCACGTACTGTACGCACACGAGCAGACACGCGCACACACATGCAATCTGTCTGAGCAGAGAGGTGTGCTCTGCTCAGACAGATTTATTGTAAATGTCATCAACATGATAATGACAGAAATTGACTCGTACAGTACTAAATGGCTGGACTGGACTCTCCCTGGTTTGCGGGCGCTTCCACCGCTCGCTTCAACCGCTCCCCGGTACTTTTTATTATGGTTTGGCCCTGGTTCTAACCGGGCGAGTCGATACCAGAACAATTTCACGTCAGCGAACATCAATTATGATTCCGAAATGAATGCTTTCAATCTCTAACCAAGAAAAAAAATCAAGTTTCAACCCAGTGTTCAGCAGAAACACAACTGTCTTTAGTAAAAGATATAGATTTGACACATAACACCAACACCACTTTAGCTGATTTAGAACCACAGACACATGCTCAGTATAAGACCAGATACTTTTGCATTTGATTGAAGACAGACACTCACCAGGCAGAGTTGGCTTATCTCCTGGTGTAACGCTAGCTGGTGTTAGCTGGTTTTAGCATGTTAGCTGGTGTTAGCTGGTTTTAGCATGTTAGCCGGTGTTAGCCGATGTCCGTAAATGTAATCCATTTGGTCAAACCACCTCCAGACTTTTCGGGTCTGCCTCTACTTCTGCTGCTGCGATCTTTCATTTCACGGTTGTCACTTTTAAGCTTTTTAACTTTTCTCTGCATTGTCATGTTTGTGGGAATCATTCTGCTCCGTCCTTAGTGCTAGCTCCACAAACACCTTCTGGTTTCTGGTGGAACCAGCGAGATCAGGCTGGTGTCCTCTCCTCAAACTGAGGAAGGTGTTGCCCTCATCCAGCGACCAAGGAGCTGTTTTCCGTACGGACGTCATGGGTCGAGGCAACGTGTTGTTTGTTATGATATTTGCTACAGCTGAGGTAGCAGCTGCAGAGTGATTGACAGCGCATCTGGCCAATCAGAATTGACGTTCGCCGACGTCAGATTGTTTTGGTGGCCTGGATAGTGGAGTGAAGTCGGCCTTTACTATTGGTCAGAACTACATATGGAATGAAAGGCAGCGCCACCACCGAGGCGTTTTTGACGCTTGTCGAGTGAAAGCCCGAGAGCCGCACGGAACCAGCCAAAGAGCCGCATGCGGCTCACGAGCCGCGGGTTGGCCACCCCTGTCCTACTTGATATTGGTTTCCGGAGCGGGTGGCGTGGAGAAGCCAGGTAGCAGAGTTATGGATATATTGCAGTTTCTTGGAGATGAGTGAGACCATAGAGGAGGCTAATGCAGTTGTTAAGTCTGCAGGTGATGAAGGGGTAGAATATACAACTCCTCCTTTCACCTCAGCAAACACAAGAATTAGCTTTAAGGTTTACATCCATAGTCTCATGTTTCAGGGGACATGGTATCTTTATTCTGCATCTGCAAGATTTACAATAATCATCATTATGGAGATGAGATTGTGTTGCTTTATCATTGCAGAAAATGGCTACAACAATGTGAAAGGATTTTTATCAAGAGTATTGTAATTGCCCCTATTGGATTGAAATTAACATTTGTCGTTGTATGTGAATTGTTTTATGTTGTAATTGGGAACTAAATTATAGTTAATGATGTCTTTGCAACTGATAGATGTGATAATGAAGTGATTGTGTGAATAATATATTAGAATCATACAATGTGCTTTCACCCAACCGTGGCTGTAAGTGCTCTGTGAATAACAGAATGTTCTATTCAGACATCTGCACTTTGTGGGCTGCTTGTGAGATCGCTTGTGTTTCTGTGTCGGTGTGTGAGTGTGTGTGTGTGTGTGTGTGTGAGAGAGAGATTGGGGCTCGCGGCTACAGTGTGTGTCTGTATGTGGGTGTGTGTGTGTGAGAGTGAGAGATTAGGGCTCGCGGCTACAGTGTGTGTCTGTATGTGGGTGTGTGTGTGTGTGTGTGTGTCTGTGTTTGTATGTGTGTGTCTGTCTGTGTGTGTTTGGGGCTTGCAGCTCCTGTGTGTGTGTGTGTGTAGCTCGCAGCTCCAGTGTGTGTGGCAATAGAAGCAGTGTTAAAGAACACTATTTGCAGAGCCACTGTTTACTAAATTAGCATTAATCTTGCGTTTGTAATTTTCAAAGAGGAAAAAAGAACACACTGCAGCTTCATTCCTAAAAACAACTCATGACCCAAAGTTGTACAAATCTTAGCCACATACAAAAGTACTTAGTGTTAGTAATCTTTATTTATAAAGTGCTATCACAGACACAGTGGGGTTGCCATGATACAGAAGGCATCCATTGTTTACTTTTTTGCTTTTACATCAGGGTGTGTCTCGCTTTTATTTTACATTTGAATTTGTATTTATTTGTTTATTTGGATTGGACAGTGTGTATTCATGAACAACAGTCACTGTGTAAATACACCAGATTTCAGCTTTTGTAGCTGATTTCCATCTGTAGTCCCAGAGTCATACTCACAAGCATACAATCATTCTACCCTCACCTCTTGTTTTTGGAAACCTATGCAGACACGGGGAGAACATGCAAACTCCATCTGGGGGTACAATTGAACCCAGGGCCTTCTTGCTGTGAAGCATAAGTTCTAACCACTGTGCTACCATGACACCTGATACTGCATACCAACATTTAGTTGAGATAATGAGTAAATGTTTGTATTGAACCAAAACTTGAACAAAAGTAAAGAAGGCTTGTTGTCGTGACGATCAGACCCCACTTCAGTTTCCAGGAAGATAATTTTTCTTCCTTGGAATGACCAGTAAAAAGGACTATCATTAATCCATTCATTTATTTCTTCATTCCAACCGAGACACATGACACAAATAAACACAAGATCAGAGTCACCCTGCAAACCTCAGCCTATGTACAGTACACATACTGTGCCTGTAAGTATAGCAAGCATATGAAACATTTATTTTGGATTGTGGCACAACATTCTGGAGAATAGTGTAGAAAGTGAACATTCTTGTAACATCAGATCCATCAAAGGTGAATCAATATGGAAATGATTTCGTACTTTATTTTAAAGCTCAGAACAGCCTGAATCCAGACAAAAAAGTTTTACAATCCTGGTTGTCAGCTCCTGGACAAGTCTGGTGAACTTATGTAGACCTCTTTCTAAAAGGTAGACCCATTTTCATTAAATTAAAATATTACTAATTGTGTTTTGGGTTCAATGTTTAGAATGAAATGAATGTATTTGATTGAACTTTCTATTTTGACGTCTGTGACAAAAGTAGTGCTTCCACAAACAAATGGTTCATTCCATTGGAGCTGCTGTGTATTAACGATGCAATCTATTAAAAGTATTTAATTCCACAAACAGAAGGCCTTGCTCAATATTAATAAAGTCGTATAAATCTTTCTTTTCCACGTGCAAAATTTATAGTTTCCCAAAGATCTTTGAACCTGTTTATTGCGCATGCCCCTGTGAGGTGATGGCAATAGAACTGAGAAATTCAAAAACATGAAAGCAGAGGTTATAAATCAAGTTTGGAGAGTGTGCAAATTAGACGTGGCTATAACTCTCAAAGCTACTCACTTGTCCCCGGAGGCAGGCTAAACAAATACATTTTTGTTTGCCATCTACCGACTTAAACAAAGTTGATAGGATAGATGAAATTGAGAGGTGGGTTATGGCTATAAATTCTCCTTACCGAACTATCATAAATTGTAAGGTCATACTCGAATAACATAATTTTTTGTGGTATTTTGTCAGATTCAAGTACCAGCAACAACAGAAGGCGCTGCACAGGAGTGTCTGCTCTCTGCGCGCCGTCAGCAGGGACCTGACAGATGTACGGGGTTTCCTGCGCACGCTGTCAGAGACTTGGCTTGCGCTCAGCTGTCAACTCCAGCAGCAGTTTGCTCAGGTGTTAACAGGTAATTCTCACCTAAATTAGCCCCATGCTAAGACACACAAGAGATATTTAAAACTCTTACTCATGAATAATGGAGGGAGATGGAAAGCTTCTGTAGGTGTGGTTGTGTGGCCTTGGATTGTTCAATAACAAGTCCTATTTTAGCAGCACAAATAACAAGCATGACCTCAGACATGATTGATGTTTAAGCTAAAGCTGCAGTATGGAAGATTTTAGAATAGTTCATTGTAGCAGCACATGTTTCCGTGGCAATGTGTCGACAACAAATCAGAATGGGTGCTTACAGACTGTTCACACCTCCCGTCATGGCTTTGAGGGGTTTTTTCTCCCCCAGTGCAGGTCACACTGGAGGGTCTGTCGTTTCTGCTTAGACTGCTGCACTTTCTACCAGGCAACAGATAATGCAGAAGAATGTGAATGGATGGATGTTTCTTTGGTCATTCTGTGTATTTTTATTTACCAACTTTAGCCTTGTATGTGAAAAAACTGATCTTGAGAAAAATAACAAATCTGCCATCCGTCATACAAGTTAGATTTCTTTCTTCATTTATTTATTTTGAACGCATGTACACAAAAGGTAAACATGAACCGGATAAAAATAATATCAATCTTACCAGGTTTTCTTTATGTATATGACTTTATGTTTATTCATTTTTATTTATTTATTTAATATGAACATAACAATAACATTGGACGAACCAGATGCATTGCATGTTATAGCACAGGTAATAATTTTCAACACTAGTCCACAGGGGGCTTTAACATTACAGAAGATAAAATACATTTAAAGTGATAGTCTGTACCTCTAAATTAATTGAAATGTGAATGAAAATGTGTTAAATTGACCTCCTGGCCTTAAATGTTGATATAAAATAAGTCATTTTATTAATTCTAAATTATGAGAAAGTCCCGCCTTCCCTTCTCTTAGCTATAGCTCAGAATCCACGATGCCGTCGAGGTTAACCAATCGAGTCATGCCAAGGGCTGTCAATCATCGGCGCTGATGCTCGTAGCTCCGCGCATGCTCAGTTGTTTGTTTTCGCGGAACTTCATGAAAACTGAACAAAGAATTCTGAACATCCGCGCTGAGGTACTTATGTATATACTGAACCTATATCCATAATCATGTATATACTGAACCTCTATCCATAATCAGTTATATACTGACCCTATATCCATAATCATTTATATACTGGCCCTATATCCATAATCATTTATATACTGAACCTATATCCATAATCATTTATATACTGAACCTATATCCATAATCATTTATATACTGAACCTATATCCATAATCATGTATATACTGAACCTCTATCCATAATCAGTTATATACTGACCCTATATCCATAATCATTTATATACTGGCCCTATATCCATAATCATTTATATACTGAACCTATATCCATAATCATTTATATACTGAACCTATATCCATAATCATTTATATACTGAACCTATATCCATAATCATTTATATACTGAACCTATATCCATAATCATTTATATACTGAACCTATATCCATAATCATTTATATACTGAACCTATATCCATAATCATTTATATACTGAACCTATATCCATAATCATTTATATACTGAACCTATATCCATAATCATTTATATACTGAACCTATATCCATAATCATTTATATACTGAACCTATATCCATAATCATTTATATACTGAACCTATATCCATAATCCGATCCTCTGCAGATGTGTCCTATAATGTGCAATTCATGATAATTGCTACTTCCAGGTTTGCCGCTTTTTTTGTGCATTCAAACATAATTTTTTTCATTAAAACGTTAACAAATAATTCTGAAAACCTCCGTGCATGTGTATTAATAATGTATATGTATAATGTGTTCTCTGATTAACATTTAAAAGTGTTACGGAAACGTAGGCGTAGACCAATCAAAAAGAAAGGGGGAGGAGCTTGCGTGTTTTTTTCAAATCAAGTACCTCTTTCTCTCTTTTTCTGACAAACTGCAGACAATCTCTTTAAAGGAATTACTATACAATTTACACGTGAGAATAAGTCTGTCTGGATCTTAACCACTGTTTGATCTCTGCCGAAGATGGTCATGTTAGTCTGTAGTTTTAGTTCAGAGTTTTTAAATCTTAAAATATAAAAAGTCTGGAACTTGAAAAGAAAATCTCCTCTTAATGAACAGAAACATATGGTTTGTCACAAAAGAACCATACGTCACAATATATTACTATAGGTGTTTAATTTGTAGCGTTCTCCTGTCTTTTTTTAGTATTACTTCCTGTTTTGTTGATTGCTCCGCCCTGATGTGTTTCACCTGTGTCTTTTAGTGAAATAGGGCTGGAAAGTCTCGTCCTAGAAGCACTTCCGGTTCATTGTTCGGATACAAAAAAAAAGCCAGCTGTTCGAAGAGGCGGTTTAAATGAATGGTGCAAAATGCTCTGCTTTGTTTTCGGCTGTTATCATCAAAGTTTACATGAAGCATGCTCATTTTTTAGGTTTCCCAAAGACCAACTGAAGCTGTGTAAAAAGCTATGCAGTTGTGATAAAAGATTTTGTCTGATTTTACAGATGGTTAACTTGAATATGTATTCAAGCTAACTTGTAGCTAATGCTAACCTATAGTGTGCAAAATCTCGCACTTCTGCTTTCCAGCCCTATACCCTGTGCTCTCTCCCTCTTGTTGTTGTTTGTTCCATGGTTCTTGTCTTCGTCCTCAGTTCCTGTGTTTTGCATTCAGTTTCTTTTCTTTTTATCATTCTGTTTAATTAAATTGTATAATATTTTGCAGTATTGTATTTTGGGTCCTTCCTCCTTTCCACCGTGTGACAATAGGACTTTTCCTTCCGTAAGCGCTACATTTCTCCCCATCTTTTACAATCTCAACATTAACTCACAGATCATTGATTGGATATAAGACGTCACATTTATCACTTGCATAATAAAAGCCATAATGTGTGTTTTTATAGCACCAGACGAACTTCTCATAAACCACATTGAGGAAAGAGGGTGCGTCTATTCGCGTACGTGTGAGTGCTATGCAAGATATGCCTGTTAAAACAATACAGCCTTCCAACTGGCCCGCAATCAAAAGAAACCGCACAGAAGAGGAGCGGGCGAGTGCAGGCCATGTGTGCACGTTTGAAGGCGCGCCGTAACCTCAGCATCACCTCATGGGCGGGGCCTCTCTCTCCACCGCATGCTTTCACACAGCTGGTATTGAGAGAGGGAGAGAGAGAGAGGGAGAGAGAGGGAGAGAGAGTGAGAGAGAGTGAGAGAGAGTGGAGTAGCTGCCGTGTCAGTGTGTTTCTTGGTGACGTGAGCCTTGGAAGCAGCTGCCGCCCAGACCCACAGATCTAGTCCAATCCACACCCGGGAATGCTGGGAGGTGGAATGAGTTACATGCGCATTTTGGATTAGTTGAAATTCTACACTTGAAAAAATGTATATAAACGCAACGCTTTTGTTTTTGTTCCCATTTTTTATGGGTATAACGGCACGGTGGCGCAGTGGAAGTAGTTTGCATGTTCTCCCCATGTCTGCGTAGGTTTCCTCTGGGTGCTGGGTTTCCCCTACCTCTAAAAACATGCACAATAGATCCGGCAGTCGCTTTCTGTATGACGACCTCGCTCTGTGTGGAGTGAGAGACAAAGGCCCACAACAATTGTAAAGCGCTTTGTGACTCTGGTCTGTGAAAGGCGCTTTATAACAATAAAGATTAATAACTTTATTTACAACATTTTATACTTTTACTTCAAGTGTAAAACTCGGTGTATGCTTGGTGGACAATCTCTAACAAAAGTTGTTCTAAAATCTAAGTCTGTTTCAGCGAGCACTTATTCTGCCCACAACGTCCACAGGCCGCTCCATCAGACTGAGAATATCGGGACTCACACACAGAGCAGGTTCAACCGACATTCAATGTATTAGCCTCTCCCTCCTACAATAAATTGAAACAGCCCAGAAGTTTTAAAAAGAGGTCTGAAACTAGAATTTAAATACTTATCTTTGATTATCATCAAATTCAACTCATCTTTTCCCCAAAATGGGTCCAACTTTAGTGTCTGGATCCATAGTCAGTTAGGACTGAGTCATGGACATCGAGTCATATAAAGCTGTAATTACTAATAAGAATGGCTTTCATACCTGTAACCACACTCTTTGAATATATAGTGCATTTGATAAGGTCCTGTTTGTACAAGTGAGGAAAGGCAACCGCCGTGTCTGCAGTGATGCGTTCCTCTCTGGGGAGATGTTCTGGGCTTGTCCCACTTGGGGAACACGCCAGATGGACTATGTCCATCAGCTTTGGCCTGAGCGCCTCTGGAAAAGCCATGAAAGTAGGTTTCCTTGCTCTGACTGCTGCTTCCATGACCCAGTCGTCCCAGATAGAGCAGGGGAAATGGATGGATTTTTGTGCACAATTTGAAAATGCCCTTTTTATTTTGTTATTTTACAAAATGAGTTTCATTTAAAAAAAAAAAAAAAAAATTGTCCTCCGCGGGCGATTATCCATACTATATATATAATATAATATATATATATATATATATATATATATAAATTTGTTTGAGTGAACAAATTGAATGAAAGCTCTCATAAGTACAGTAGCATCACACTGTGATTGTTGTGTCTGAACAGTTACACAACAGCTTCCCATAATCAGAACTGGCTGACAGCGTGTTGTGTCTTGGTTCCAGGGTGGTTTTTGTTCCTCTCTGTGACACACTTTTCGATTGACAATGACAAGTGTTGAAATGTGGTGAAAAGTGCAATGTAATGGTGGTGTTTACTGCTCACTGTTGGAGATGTACCCCAAGCCATTGGGCCAAACTGTAGACCAGGAAATACTAGTTGATCATTATCCAAACATTAATCAGTAATCACATTTTTCTGTTCATTATTATTACGGCATTCAAAATGAATTTAAAGTCAGGCACATTCATTGAAGTGTCAGGGAAAAACAGTTTGCTGTTCTATTTGTCCATTTATAACTGGGAATAAACT